CCCCCCACCATAAATAATGACCAGTCCCTTAATTCCATAGGCCTTAAGGCGGATTTCCAGTCCTCGCCCGAAGCTCTTCGCAGCTCGCTGCGAGTGCATGCATGAGCACTTTCATCCAATCACAATGCTAAACAGTTAATTTTAATTAGATGCAAGCACTCGCAGCGAGCTGCGAGGAGCTTCGTACGAGGACTGGAAATCCGCCTTTAGAAACCGTACTCAAATTGTTAAGGCAAAATTCAGTCTAGTCCCTAGGCCTCTTAGTACGCCAATTACGCGTTTCTGTATATTAATGAGGTGACGGCTCCTGCAAAATTGACGTTTGTGGGGGACTGTGGGAAACTGAAAAAAATTTCAAGAAATGGTCGTCAGATTTAGATCGGGATTAGATTAGGGTCAGATCAAGATTGGGTTAGGGTTAGAGGTTTGGGTGGGGGTTAGGGTTCAAATTAAGACAATGTCTTAATTTGAACGCTCTTTACAATTAAGACATAGCCTTAATTTTGGGAAGAGATCAAACTGGTGTACCATGCATGTATAGCAAGATAAAGGACTCCAAACCAAATATCTCAATCACAAAACAAGGCTCTATAGTCAGGCTGAGTACGGAAGGCTATATTCCTGCCATATGCATCTGCTTTTGTTTCATTGTCTAGGTACATGGTGTGACATAAGACAGTATGATGAGGGAACGGTATTTTCTAACCCTGCTACTAGTAGCATGTGTTTCCTTACTTGTTATCACTGCATTACGTTGGAGGCCTTGTACAGGACAAAGCATACTCATCCCCGTAAATAACGTAGCAAATTCAAGGTCTGTATATATCCGTCTGTATTACTGTATAAGTAAAATATACTGATATTTTAAGTAAAATGTGCCGTACATTGGCATATAGCATTAGTATTTATACATCAGAACTTGTGGTTAGAGCTCGACAACTGTCTCTCTGTAGCTCAGTTGGTTAGAGCGATTCCTGTCAGAAGACCTAGTGTTGCATTTTTTTGTAATCGTTACTGGTTGGGTATAAAAAGTGTATATAATATATGTCGTCACTTGGATAATCCATGGCCATCTATATCCAATCTTCAGTTTCAACCGTATGAAGTGCGGGAAAAATTTAATGTGTTGTATTATAGCTTTTCCTTAGTTTGTGAAATACCGAAACATTCTTTCTTAATCATGCACGTAGAACAAAGACTGAGGAATTACTTGTCGCCAAGTTAAAAGAACTTTCCGACGATTTACTCGAGACCCAAAGAAGTGTGGTATCTTCGGCATACAGCTACACCAGACTCGCTAAACATTTAGACAAGACTTTTGAAATGTTGAAAATACTAAACCAAGAATTTCCCGGGCAAAACGACTCTACCACAACATCTAAAAAGGACGATACAGAAATAATCAAAGCGGAGGTTTGTCCCGAGAAATTTATGGGAAAGCGATTGGATTACGGTCATCCGTTTTTCAGAAAAGGATTTGACCCCGTTCCTTGCAAGAATTTTATTCCGATAGAACAACTTGTAACCGTGTTAATAATGATGCCTGAAGAGTTACCGAAACCAGCTCAAACCTATCTCGAAGTGATGCAAGGAGTAGCAAAATATTTTCCCAAAATCCGCGTTATTCTTGCCACAGAAAAGGAGATCCCATCATCCGTGAAAGATTCCATTTCGAAATTGGATATTACTTTTGAAAATGACATTATCGCTGATGCTAAACCAAGTGTACTGTGGCAAAGGCTAGTTGAAAAAGTGTCGAGCCGTTACGTATTATTGGCACCAAATCTTACTCATTTTGATGACGATATCAGTTTAGAGCGTATGGTTCGCGTCCTAAGCTACGAACCGCTTGTAGCGTTCGTCGGCGGAGCTCATCGGAATCTCGCGGGACATTGGGATATCGGTTGTGAACAGGCGTCGTACAAGAACCTCACAGCCACATACATGGGGGGATACTATAGGTCGTTCAATGAATGTTTGGTGTGTGATTTTCTCTCGGGACCCATCATGACCAAGACGGAGATGTTGAAGAAGTTGAAAATTGATACCAGGTAAGGTATCGGGTCGTTTCGTACGCACGTACAAGCGCACAAGTTGTTACAGGTCTGCAACAAGCTGTCGACAAGTTGTGTTCGCACTGCACAAATTTGGAACAAGCTTGTTAGCAACTTGTAACAAACTTGGTGGCAGTTATCAGACTTGTTACAAGGTTGTTCTAACAAGTCTGATACAGTCATGATATAACAAGAATGTTACAAGGTCGACGACACAAGGTCGTAACAATATTGTTACATCATGACTGTATCGGACATGTTGGGACAACTTTGTGAAAAGTCTGATAATGCCATCAAGCTGGTTACGAGTTGTTAACAGCTTGTTCCAAACTTGTTGACAGCTTGCGACAAGCAGTGCGAACACAACTTGTTGGCAGACCTGTTACAAGATGTAAGATGTTTGCGCGTGTACTTGACTGCCTTGTCTTTTCTTTCACAAAATCTGGTCGTTTTGTATCAACGAGGAGAGTTGCTGAGAGTTGACAAGCAAGAGTTTTGCAAGAGAGTTTTCTCAACCCTCATTCCCCAGTCAAACGAGAACAAGAGTTACACGAGAGTTGAGTCAGTTGTTTGAATATTACTACCGAATACATTTTATGTTTTTTTAGTCTAGGGGAAGGTGTTTTTCGAGATCTATTTTGGCGCTTGAAGAAAGATATGCCGGAGAAAATCACGGCATCGTGTCCCGATGTTATGTTCAATACCAACCCTCGTGAGGTGGAAGACATAGAATACGTTTTATTCGCGAATAAACATATGATCCATAGGATCGTCGAGGCTAGCGGTCGAGTGCGCTGGTATGGATGTCGTCATGGTCTGTCATACACCACACCTGAGCTGTGCAAGAGAGGTAAGGGCGTGGGACTCTCTCCCGCTGAAATGGAAAACCTGGTGGATGTGATAAAATTCTTCCTCCGTGCTTGTGAAGACGCCGGAGCATTTTGTGAGCTGTATTCTGGAACATTGATAGGTACGTTAATCGGCATGCGGTTGTTGTATAGTGTACTTTTGTTGTCATGGTGATACGAAATACATTTACTGACTACTGCAAAGTCTTGCTTGACTACAGGAGTCTACTGTATTTGAATTGTAATTGTTGATCGCAGTTTGCTTATCATCATGTTATTACTCAAATTACTGTATTTCATTTTGTCTCTAATATTTTTTGCTTTATCATGAAAAATAGCACCCCCCCCCCTCCTGTACCCCTCTGGCCAGGGCTAGGGGGTGCAGGCAAGGGGGGTGCGCCCGCAGCCCCTCCCAAGTAAATCCATCCCTGTTGTCGGGAAGTTAGTGAAGATTAACGCTCGAAGTTCTCCTTGTATTTTTCATGTAGTTGCATCCATCCGAAGCTTTCATAATGAAAAATACTTTGTGTCGTTTATCCGTACAGGTGCAGTGAAATTTAATGGCATCCTACCTTGGGATATAGATGGCGACGTCTCGTTTGTGTCCGCAGACTTCACAGTCATCGAAAAACTAAAAGAGAAAGTTAAAAATGCAGGTTATTCTCTGGATGTTGGTTATGGCACCAAAATTGACAAGGGTCAGGTTGTTAGTGGCTACTTCAAGTTGTATACAACTAATTGGAAGGTGGATGTTTGGGGTTATGTCGCCCTCACCAGCCAAATCGATGTCGCCAATGGCAGAGTGCGCACTAAGGTTCTGCTTGCAGGTGAGCTTCGTCTTAGGACGTTCTACATTCTTAAAAAACTCATTAATAATTCAGGAGGAAAACACAAAGAAATTTCATAAGCGTGTCGTATCTTTATATGTGATAAAAAATCATGTTAATTTACATAAACTTTAGCTTTGATTTTTTCGGTTTAGACAAAGTTTATTTTAAAAATTACTTCGCCAATGAACTCATATAAGATGAGTCGTTTTTTAAGCCATTTAAAGCACTTGTTTAGTCGTGTTTTATCAGATATAAAACGCTCGGCTGCGCCTCGCGTTTTATACCTGATAAAACACTCCCACTCGTGTTTTAAATAGTACTTAAAACACCATGGTTAAAAAATTCCGTGGTTAAAAATCTAAAATGAACCCTGTTCGGGGTATCTTAATATTCCTGGTTCCCTTCTTCGGTTAACCTCAGCCCAGGTTACCTTGATCACTGTTGTCGCGAATTTAACCAGCATCCCTGGTTAGTTTACCCAGGCTATACGGTTGGATTAACCAGGTTATGATAAGTGGATTATTAACCTACTGGGCCAGTTGTTCAAAGGTGGGTTAGCGCTAACCCTGGGTTAAAATTTAACCTGCTGTTTTCGCTTGTGTATTTCTACACGTCTGTTTATTTCAAAACTTCAGAGAAGTAAACTCCTATCGACCCAGTTACGATTTCTGAAGAAATATTTCCAAATTTATAGACTAATTTATGTTGGGAAGTGTGCTTTGAATTTTAGGTTAACCTAGGGTTAAGCTAACCCAGCTTTGAACAACCCGGTCCAGGAATTTTTGGTTAATTTATTACGAAATGTATGGTTGTCAGAGCCGGCGCTCTTCACCTCTGAGATTGTGGGTTCGATCCGCACGTCGCACCAATGACTTTTATGTGAAAGAAGTCAGTCAACGCTCTACCGAAAGTCGTGGGTTTTCTCTGGGTGCCCTAGTTTCCTCCCGCAGGGAATGTTGACAGGGTGGGCTGGGTTTAACCCCTAGGCTGGATTTAACCCCTAACTAACCCACCGTAGCTTCCGTGATCAGCCATGAGTCATAAGGTGGCTACTAGAGGCGCCCTTAGAAAGCCTTCGTCTCGATCAGGTTGAGCTGCGTCCTTCGACATTCAGCTTAGCTGTAAGCTGCAAGCATAGTCACAGAGGATGCAAAGCACACCTCCACTTGCTGCTTACTTTCGAAGGAGAAATCATTATTGTTATTTTTATCATCAGGTCAATGGGTGAACGTTCCACATAACCCTGGGATGGTCGTACGAAATCGTTACGGAGCTGGTACATACAAACACCAGGAACACTGGCGCAGACACGGCCGTGGTTCGTCATGGATGTTTTATGATCCAGGATGGTTTTTAAAATGTCCCTACCCGGGTCATTCCTCATGTCTGGATCAATATCCTGCCGATGGGAATATGCAGTTCAGCGACTATTGTCCAACATGACAAGGAATTTCGTGGCTGTTTCCATGATCCCGGTTTCAGCCCGGACGGAATGGCGGGATGATTTTTTGATGGCTTGAAATAAATCACTTCACGAAAGTTGAAAAGCCGGTTAAAAGAACTCAAATGTTGTTTGGAACAAGCTGTTAACAACTTGTAAGAACCTTGTTGATATTGCAAGGTTGTTCCAACAAGTCCGATACAGTCACGATATAACAATATTGTTACAACCTTGTGTCGTCAACCTTGTAACATTCTTGTTATATCATGACTGTATCAAACTTGTTAGAGTAATCTTGTAACAAGTCTGATAATGTCATCAAGCTTGCATGTTACAAGTTGTTAACGGCTTGTTCTAAACTTGTTACGACAACTGGGAACAAGCAGTGCGAACACAACTTGTTGACGGCCTGCATGTAAACATATTTGTAATGACTTGTTTGCAGACCTGCAACAACTTGTGTGTTGTTGCGTGTGTAATTACCAAAAGGGTGTATTCGTATGGTTGCATGCTTATTTGATGCCCAACGTATTAAGTCCCGTTTACACTATACGCTCAATTTTTGGTACGGCACGGATAAAATTGGTACCCGTACCACTTTTTTGGTTCTTGGACTACCTATTTAGGTAGTCCAAGAACCAAAAAGTGGTGCGGTACCAAAAATTGAGCGTAGTGTAAACGGGGCTTAAATCGTGCAAATCTAAGTTGTTAGATAATTTATTCATTGTTGTAATTTCGACTGGCTGCATCTGTATACATTTTCTCTCAATTCAATCATCTAACTGTCTTGGATAATTAAAAACTGAATGGACTTGTATCAGTTTAGTAAACACGATCAGAAAATACAATAGAACATTTGTTCAAAGATAAACGTCCTTATACAGAGACTAGAAAAGTGTGAAAATTAAAATACGAAATTAAATCGTTCTATAGATTAATTCACAAATAGAAAAACAGCGTTGTAATGTCTAAAAAAATAATTTCAGCAACGACCTCGCCTTGGGTTCTCATATAGCCATATTAGGTAGGAGAATTTCGTTGTCTGTTTACGATAAATTTATACTATAACATGACAAACGATTTCCTGTATAAATACAAGCAAGCTGAATACATAAACTTGAAATGTATTCACATAATACTATGTTGCTCGTTTTCAGAAAACATAGAAGCAAAATAGTCGAGACGTGTTTCACAATGGCAAACAGTGCACTTCTTCTCATGATTGTTATTTTAAAGTTTTCTTCATTACTGGTTTTGGGAATACAAGTTCAAATTTCCATGTTTGCAAGAAAAGGTACGTAGACAGACAGACAGTAGACTGTATTTTTGCACCCTGTTACACTGTCTGTTTCTTGAATAGACAATTCCCATTATATAGACTAATTTTAAAACTAGGCAAGAAGGAGATGCAGCAAATAAATCACCACAGCTAGATTGAGCATACTAAAATGAGTAAAATTACAAAGTTTGGTTGCGAAATGTTGTAAAATACGGAATAGCCTTGCAAAGTTTGCAAATTTTGTATACGTTTGTAGGCTTACTGCGCGTGGAAGTTCCTACCACATTTGGGCAGAAAATGGTAGCAATTCCCGCACGCAATACAAAAGTATACGTACAAAATTTGCGAACTTTTCAAGGCTATATAGCTATTTCCCGCATTTTACAACATTTCGCAACCAAACTTTGTAATTTTACTCATTTTAGTGTGCTCTTTCTAGCTGTGGTGATTTATTTGCATCTCTTTGCCTAGTTTTAAAATTAGTCTATAATGGGAATAGTCTATTAATAATGAAGAATAACGGGACATATACTCGGAACATTCATATGAGTGTACATATACTCGGAACATTCATAACTCATCTACTCGTTCACATCCATCAAAAGACGAAAATCGCACTAGGAATCCTGAAGTACTATTTACAGTAAAGCCGGAGTGTTTTATAGCTGATAAAGTACGGACTGCCAGTGTTTTAAATGCTTAAAAAGCGACCCATCTTATGAGTTCATTGGCGAAGTAATTTTAAAAATCAACATTACCTAAGCCAAGAAAATGAAAGCTGAAGTTTATGCAAATCACCATGATTTTTTTACACATTTAAAACCATTTAAGTGATTTACTTAGTCTTTTCCTCGTGAATTAATGAGTTTCTTAATGCCACCATCTTGCATATAATTCTTAAATCCTGTAGTTTCAGAAAAACGACCATTACAATCGCCACATTTCCACTCGATGATTTCCTTCTTCAATGACCCTTCAACTATTATTCAATCGAGTGTGATGCCAACACAATCTTGATATTACAACTCATTTAGCAAAATAATAAATTTAGGGAAAAGCGTTTTCCGCCATGCATGGTTAGAAATCTATGTAGGTTCAGACCAACCTTTAAAATGATCGATAAATATTGAATCAATAATGCAATCAATTACCTTTATAAGGTTACCGCTTGGAAGGCAAAACATTCCAATCCATGTACGTGTCGTCTTTATCAGAATGTGGTCAATGGTGTTTGAAGAATCAACGATGTTTGTCGATGAACTACGGATCGATGAGCTCGGATTCCGAATTGGCCATTTGTGAGCTGAATAATTCTACGAGAGAAAGAACTAGCTTGAAATATGATACAAGATTTTCGTACTACGAATCTCTCGATTCGGTAGGAGAATATCCACAATATATAATAGAGACCTTACGATGTTGGACGCCAACGGCCAGAATACAATCATTCAAATAAACGATTGTGAAGAAAGTTTGTAGAATATCATTGACATTGATCGTATCAATTTAATACTGTTTGCAGTTTGGTTAGCTCGAAATTGTATGGTTAGCTTGTTGAGAAAGTTCTACTTTAAAGTACAGAGCTAGTTTGCTGAGTACACTTCTCGCGTTTTGAAATGCATGCGTTCTATCCAAGACGTAAAAGTCTGCAGTTTCCCGTTGTAAACAGACTGTAGACGTCTCAAGCTCCCGTGGGATATTAATTAGTCATTTTTTTCACGTTGCCGTTCCACATCGTAAGGTCTCTAATGGAGCCCTCGAGTACAGGGTGTATCAAAAGAATGTACACCCTTTCAAATTAACCGTAATCTATTGTAGTAATTTGACAGCCGTATAATTTCTCGAATTAATGAAAGCGTGAAAACACAAGGTCTTTTGCACATGGGAATTTAGGATAATTTCTATTTGTACTGAACAAATACACAACTGAAAGAAAAATGTTTAAAGTAAGCATTATTCAAGTCTGCATAAGATATTAAATTGGCCAGAGCAACGAATATTTAAAAGTTAATTATGGTTAATTTGAATTTGAAAGGGTGTACATATTTTTGATACACCCTGTAATGTATGGTTGGCTAATTTAACTCATGAATTATTAATGAGTTTGAGATCAAATACCTTTAGTATTTTTTCCGGGAACACTGATCTCTCCTGCAGTAACACTGGATCAATTTGGAAGGGTGCTTCTTCTGAACGTCTAGTATGAAGGACAGTTAGGAATTTGAACCGCTCTTGAGGAAATTCAGACTATTTTAATTTAAAAAAGCATGTTCATTATACATGCTTTCTCATCAAATTTAATGTTATTCTATATTCTGCTAATTTTGACTATTTTGGATCAGTCAGAAAATCTAATAGTGCAACTTTATGTGACCGTTTCTGTGAATTTCGTATTTTAAGAAAGTTTCTATAAAAATTATTTCAACTTTAGAGACCCAAAGAATCTTCCGAGAAACCAAACACAATATCACGGAATGCAACTAGCTGTTCTTACTACATGTCCCATGGTGCACCTGGAGTGTACACGATATTCGAGCCTATGCGAAATAAAACATGCAAAGTCTACTGTCACTTTGACCATGAACGGCAAAAGAGCTGGACAATGGTGCTGTCGTTCAGGTTATCAAACAACCAAAAACTATCAGCGAAGCCTTTTTGGATGGACACACCGTACAATAAAGCATCACCAAACTTTAAACTGTATCGCATGCCTTTAGAACTGATGAAAAATATTCGCAAGCTGGCCACAGAATGGAGAGCTGTGTGTAATTATAATGGTACAATTTCGGATCGACTTGACACGGTTAGAGGGGAATTCAAAACATTTGATCCACTTCAGAATGCCAAAACAGGCTCGTGCAAGAGTGTAAAATATATCAACATAAGAGGAGCATCTTGTAAAGACTGTACTGCCAAGTTTTTTCAAACTCCGACGCAGTTTCTTCATATTGACAGTACCAAGTCGTCGACGAGATCGACAACATGCACTTTCAAATTCCAACAAGCTGTTGTATCGAGCGAGGATAATTTCGGATTTTATAGAAATATCAACCCAAACTTCTCCTGCAGCACGCGTAACGACTCCACAACAAGTTGGTGGTTTGGGAAATGAGAGGCAATTTTCTTTCAAAACCGAAAATCTTTTTGGCGTTCCTCTCAAAATTGTTCTACAATCATTAACTTTATTGTTGGAACAGATCTCTTAAAGGCGTATGGATCCCTCCCACCCTTTTTCAATGTTGTAGGTATTTAAATATTCAAGGTACGATAGTTGTGAAAGCTGATACAGTACGAAACTTTTACATATTACAAACAACTTTGAAACGGGGGGAAAGGGGACAGATTTTGAAGTATATTAGTGTTTAAAGTCTCGTCTGATTATCACATTATCGGCGTTCCAAGCCATTAAGTTAATGATTGTAGCTTTATTTTGTAGTTTACACATGGTTACTGGTTAGCAACCTTTTAAAATGTAACTGGCGGTTCAGAAACGCAGTTTTCCGTAGCGGCGCGAAAAAGCCCCTTGGGCGAAACAACATCTCTTCCGTTGCAATAATTCCTCCAAAAATAGCGTTCCTATAGAGGTACGGATAGATGTTTTTTCACGTCGTTATGAAAAGCTATCAGCATAGTGTGAATGTGTTCAAACCATGCACACCTGCATTCATAAATATTTTATTTGTATCCCTCGCAAATTTCCAGCAGCCAGTCAAGTTTTATTAAATAGACAATATAGTTAATATGTACACGTTTAATTTCCTGTTTCGAACTAAAATAATCAGTGTTTATGATTCATTCTTTAGGAAGTTTAGAATACTATATAAATATTATAATAAATATTATAGAATATTATACAAATAGTTACGGGGTTCATGCAGACCCGTTTATTCAGCGTTTTAATTTTTGCGATGCATGCTACTATATGTCACTGTGACACTCCTGAGAATAAATTATGACACAGGTGTTTTCGGAGTAAAAATAGATCTCATTGGCAGTGTTTTAATGGAATACATATATTATAATTACGGGTATTAATTGAACAATTTAGCAAAAACATTCATCAGCATGTAGTGGCAGTTTTCAATTGATACGCATGCATATCGACGATTGCATTGTGTTGTTCTAATTTCTAAAAGTTACTATCTTATCAGTTAGTAAGTTTTGTTTTTGCTTTTCTCTTAAAAACTGTTAATATGGACATTAATGCCTTTAATGGCTCGCAAAGAAGAAGTTCTACTATGTTGGCAATGAAAGGTAGGTAGGGTTAGCAAAACTAACATGTTGTCGAAAACAGTTTTTTATAGCACCAGCAAAATGTCCAGCATCTATCTTTTTAAAATAACCGCAGAGAAATGGAATGCCTATTTAATTTGTGACATTTATATCTCGATGGTAACAAACTGTTTTAATGTATCAGTGTTTATACATAGCAGTGCGTAATTATACAAGTTGTATATTATAAGTTTTTTTTAGTTTTTAGTTTTTAGTTTTTATTAGCTTCGCCAACTAGGGCAGGGTCACCACAACAGCATATGCCAATTACTGTGGGCCCTTTTTACCTAACCCACCCTGTCAACTTTTCCCTGTGGGAGGAAACCGGAGTACCCGGGGAAAACCCACGGCGTTCGGCAGAGCGTTGACTTTTACTCTTTTCACATGGGGACTGGGTAGCATTATAGTGTTACAAATCTGCTAACTGCAGTTTTTTAACAACTTGTGCGTTTTTATGGGCACCTTATATATACAACGCAACATTTTGGTTACAAAACCATGTTATGTTTGCCGAATTCATATTTTCCGTTAACTCGCATGCCTAGTTGCAACAATTCTGCTAATAAATATTAAACGTTTTATGCGAGCAAAAATAACCCGCAGCTTAAATAGTCGCGAACAACTCGTATATTCAAACAGCCGCTCGCGAGCCGCGGCGTAAGTAAATCCAGGGTTGAAAGCTATAGGCCTAAATAAGCGACAGCTTATTGCAAATTAACTGTTTGTGCGAGTCGTTCGCGACTTGTTTTTTAATTTAAGTCGCGGCTTGTTTTCGCTCATATAGAACAAAGTAATCTAATTTGCCATATGTAGACATCTGCGCACAGCATACTGAATCCGCATCTTGCCAGCAATAGTATACAACGAATAGCTGTCTCTCTCTATGACCGGTACGTATTCGATTCGTACACTATGCAATTGCCCGCTTATAATTTCGGCCCGGCCGATTATAATTTCGAACCAGGACCAGGTTTTACCGTACCTCTAGGACTTGGGGCAGAGAACCCAACTGATAGAACTGATAGAACTGTCCAGGACAGTTGGTACTTTAAGAAATTTTGGTTAATGTCTAAACCTCTATAACCTCTATAGGTTACCGATTGCAAGGTCACGTGATTCGCACCACCGTCGTGACGTCATCCATCGAGTGCGGCCAACGCTGTCTCATGGACCAGCGGTGTGAATCATTAAACTACCATCATCCCAGCATCGACACGGATATATCACCGTGTGAACTAAATAACTCTACAAAAAAGAAAAATGAAGAAAAGTTCGAAGAAGATGGAAGCACTACATATTATTATCTGATGTCGCAGATGATAACACGTGACCAGGAGCAGGTGCGAAAAATGCGACTATATAGGCCCTCTGGCTCTAACCAACTGAGCTACAGAGGCCAGTTGTCGAGCTCTAACCACAAGTTCATGTATATATACTGGGGTACTGGCATGTATAGGTTATGGGCAAATATCAAGATTTTGTTCGCATCTCAGGCCCGTTTTATACGTCGAATTTTGGTCGCGTCGAATGCAATTAAGACAATAGATAAAGAGATGATAAACCTCATTAAGCTTCATTATCTATTGTTTGAATTGCGATAAATTAAATTGCCGAAATTCGACGTATAAAACAGGCCTCAATCGATTCAATAATAGTTGAAGGGTCTATTTCCATCTACATATTTTCAACAAGTTAAATACATATACACGGTGATATTTTAGGCTAGTCCAAATGAAACGACCACAGCGACACCTCCAACACCAACCACACTACCAGGTAATTAATTCACTGAAATATAACGCAAAATACAGGGTGTCTCAAAAAAACCCAAAATCATTGAAATTGACGTATTGTTCGATATTCAATGCCCTAGCACTAAGTTAATCCCACGAGTGCATAAAAGATTGACATAACTGCTATAATGAATGGTAA